AGCTTCACGGTTCCGTCTCTCCTTGTGTCTGGTGCTCTCTTTCACGGCCTCCTTATCTCTGGCTGGCTCGGGCTTTTGACTTGCAGACCGCCTGCGGTCCAATGCAATATCTTCTCTAGAGGCAGATGAAGAAAAAGACGCCCGCCGGCCTTCTCGTTTGCTTTGTTCCCGCTTAAGAGCGCTCAATTCCGGTAAGATCAATCTCCGGATGGCATCTTCGACCGTCTCCAGCAACTTGGGGTTGTTGATGGAAGATTTCGATGCGCCAGAGCGCATGGAGCGAGTATCCATGGAGCGATGGCTTGGGGCCAGGTTAGACGACAGGACACTCGAGTCAACGGCAGAAAATTGTGGCGCTGGTGGTTCCGGGTTGCGGCTTCTGCTGGAGCGACGTCGTGAGGACGTGTAGACCTCCTCAGGGGGAGGTTCACTGATGCTTCCAGCCCGACTCTTTGACCGCCGCTTGCGTTCTCCCTTGTCCTTGGACTTGTCTGATGGCGCCTTTGATGAGGAGCGATCTTTTGACTTGGTTTTAGTAGCTTTGGGCTCCTCTACAGTCTCTTCGAGATGTTCTCCCGAGCCCAGTTCGCGTCCGGGAGAGCCATCAAGGAAGCTGTCTGTGGGGATGGCTGAGATTTCAGAGCCATTTCCTGGCGGATAGGAGGACTCTCTCTCATTACTTGGAATCAATGGGCTGGCAGGGCGGCGCCGTCGTTGCTGCTGCTGCTGCTGCTGTTGGCCCTGAGTAATCTCTATGTCAATGGGGTTTCGTGAGACAGTGGATTCCTCGGTGGCCGAAGCATACGACGTCACGCTATGGCCATCGTCGGCTCCGAGCAGTTCGTGCTCGCGGGATGAGACGCCATCGTCCAAGGGAATCCGTCGAGTCAGCGAACCTTTGCGGGAAGTTTTTGTCTCCGTCACTTGGATGTTGTGATTACTCTTCCCCCTTTTGGAAGTGGAGGGGGTGAGGCGCACACGCACGCTGGGCTTGCGGCTGGTCGAGCTCCCTGTCCTGCTGCCTTCAAAGTACTCGATCAACAGCGATGTCTGAGACCGATGGCTTCTGTGCCCGCGAGCGCGACTGGAGATGGGAGCGGTGCTATCGTCGGCCATCGAATAGCCCGATTTCTCGTCACCAAGCCTGGAGATGTCGGCGGTAAGCTCCGTGGGCGTTTCTGTCTCGTCGGTCTCGGTCGGGGCAGGCAGCGGGAGGCTTTTTCTACTGACGGTGCTCATGTTAGGCACAGAGGCAATCGGTATCCTTGCCTCCTAACGTCGTACCGCTAACAATGGGCGTGGGCGCGGCGGGGAAAGCTCAGCTCCTCAAAGGCGAATGTCCTAAAGTTTATGGAAAGGGGCGCGTCAAAGAAGACCAAGGGCGAGGTTGAGGAAGAGATATTAGAATAAATAATAGTAATATCCAGACATCCGGAACAGGGCCCAAACGCTTGGCGAAGAATGGGACGAGCGCCTTGACCGACGTCAGCAAATGGACGGGCACAGAGATTGAACGGAGCGAAGAAGGTGAAGAGAAAGTGAATCTCCAGATGGGCCACTCGAGATGGGCCCGAGCAGGTGGGTTTGGATGTCAGAAACTCACAGGAACCAAAGAGGGAGGGCGGAATCGGGAAGGGCCAGGGCCAGGCTTTTTTAGCTGGCAGCTGAAGAGTGGCAAAGCTCAGGCGCCGGAGCGGTAAAGCGACCAGAGGAGCTGCAGAGTCAGGGGAGTTGCTGCAGGCCCAGCCAGCTGTACCTGGAAAAGCGCACAAGTATGTATGGCGTGCGGGCAGCAATGAGCTGGTGTAGGAAGCAGTAGTATGTGGGAGTAATATGTGGGAATATGAGGTAATATGTATGTACAGCCAGCTGAGTGAGGCGGAGGAGCAGCAAAACGGAGAGGAGCCTGTCGGTGAGCTGCAAAATGCGGCTGCGAGCTGAGATGAGCAGATGCGATGCGATGCGATAAGATGCCCGTGAACCGAGGGCCGCTTCTTCTCTCGCGTTTCCTGTGCTTCTTTTTTTTCTCTTCTCCCGGGAAACGCAGCAAACGCGAGGCGACGCAGGTGGGCGCAGGTGGGCGATGCGATATGCAAGCAGGAGGAAGAGGAGAGGACCCGACCTGAGACTCGCAGCTGATGGGATGGATTGAGGCCTTGTTATTGTCCAGAAGCGGGCTGGGGCCTCTGCTTGATGAGTTGGCGCTGCCGATGCGCCTGTCCAATGGCGCTCGGGCGGGCCAGGGTGGGTGGTGCCGCCTGCTGGACCCTCTGAACGGGTGTGCTAGCCACGCTGTAATGGCGTCGACTGCCTGTACGGCTATGCCTATACTGGAGGATGAGTGCTGCTGACTTCGGTTTTGCTCTGCTCGCCAGATTGGGTCGTGGCACGAGGTATGCGGTACCTGCTGAGGAGCAAAGTGGTTACATGGAGGGTACATGCATGCGTGATGCATCCAACGAGCAGACGATGCTTCTTTTTACAGAGCGCGGGCAAAGTACATGGAGCGCAGAGCTAGCCAACCGCGGAACAAGATATTCTCAACTTCTATGGAGAAACACCAGCCATCTTTTTTTTCCCTTGTCTCTCTCTCTCTCTGTCTCCCTCTCTCTACTATGTATCTACTATCGATCAATCAATCAACGATCCCCCTTGCGCCTCTGATAGGCGGGTGGTGGCGCAGTAGGGGAAAAGAAAAAAAAAAAAGACGAGGCTGGTGATACAGCGCAGCGCCATTGCACGAGCTTGCGCTACCACGCATTATTCGCGTGCGTTTCCAGCCAATGGCCGATCGTCAGCTTGAGGGGGTTGAAATAGGAGAGCAGAGCTCGAATCAGAGCTGACAGCCAAAGCAGAGCCGTGTTGTGTCCATTGACGCCCAACGTGTCGCTCTTCTCTCTTCCAGCCTCAGCTCACGCATGCCTACATCGACCGTGGTACTTATTCCCTCATCTGCATGCCATCTTGGGACATCGTTGAAGTCACCATGATGTAGTGCCCTCTCTGCGTCTGCCGTACTCGCTACTCTGTGATACCGTGCTGCTGCTAATTGACACTTTCTTCCCGCCCCATGGCTTCAAGCCGCAACCGCGTCCACAAACCCCTGGCAGCATGGAGAAGCCGAGCCATGGCGTTTCTCCAAAAAACCCAAAGGCGACCCGCCAATGGCGCCGGAGCGACCTGAATCGGCCGTCGCTGGCAGGGTAACCAGAACCGCCTGTTAACCCAGCCTGGACGTTATTTTCTGCGGCCAGGCCCAGGCACATGGGACATGGGACACGAACCAGGAGACAGACTCCAGCAGGACTGCCGAGGGCTGAAAGTGGGAATCTGTGTGATGTGCATGGGGGGAACAAGCAGCTCCCAAAATGCTTGCAGCGCTTAGCTTGCTCAGGCTGCAAGTACGAGTAATTACGGAGCACCTGTGCCACTCGTCTGGGCTCGCACCGGTGCTGTACGATGTGCTGTACGATGTGCTTCAAAACCTCCATCCTCGTGCGTCGTCGGTCGTCTCTCGTTGCCGATTGCGCATGGACGCTGCCAAATCTTTGTCACTTCTCACGCCGCCTTCTCCCGCAACCCCCAGCAGTTCGTGGCACGCATGGAATAGGGTAGGGCTGAGGCGCAGGTCGAACTCCAGCGTCGGAAGATTTGAACACTGTTCGAAGCGAGTGTTTGTTCGCCATCTCCATCTGCCATTTGCGGCTTCAGCGGACCCCAAAATGGGCACCGCCCGACGGATCGTGATCGATCGGCCAAGTGAGCTGCTAGTCACTGAGCTGTGATTACTTGTATGGGGCAATTTTTTTCCAAACTAACACACTACCTTGACTACCAGCCGGAGCCTCTTTTCCATAGCTCCGGAACTGCCGTGGCTCGTTTTACCAGATAAAGTCTCTCTGGTGAGCTTATTTGGCAGGATATCCGGAAGCCTGCCGTGACCCAGATGCTGTCTGACACGATTAGAAAGGTGCGAGTGTACTGATCAATTCATTAAACTTTAATCATGATGTGTCACTTTTTCATCTTCCATCAAATTAAACTATGTCTGCCAATAAAAGATGACCAATTCATGGTGTCTTACATCTAAATTGGTCAATCTATCAGTACTACTATTAGTAGCTATCCAGCCTCCCGTTGACAAGGGCATGTCTCATTTTTTTCTCAACTTCGACAGAAACCCCTGTGCAAACTTGAAATAGAACCGGAACTTGAACAAGCACACCGCTAACACTGAAGGTTCCTCGCCTGCAAGTCTTGTTTGCGTTTTCCCCCAACATGCGCTAAGAACTATTGGTCAAACAAACTACATGTAGATAGCAACACGGATTTCGAGTACTTCGTGTATGATTGAAATGTGCGCCACCAAGACGCGCGGGGTTAGCACTCGTGATGCCGGCAGTGCTCGTTTGTGTCTCTCAAAACGGTCGTCTTCGGCAGCTAGCCGATTATCTGTGCAAGTCATTCATTCCGACACAAAGGGCTGTGAAGCCTGACCCAGAGCGAGCTTGAGATGATGCGAATAGCGGAAGAGTACATGGCCTATAAGCAATCTCATTTTGTTTGTATCGATTCCTTGATCGGGTATCAAGATGCAGCCGTTGGGTAGTAGAAGAGAGTAATATTATACTTGTATATATCATGGTGAAGTGAGACAAGTCAGGCGGTATGAGTATATGCCGGAATAAATACATGTATGACAAGTTCTTATTTCATCAGTTGACCCTGCCCAGTTCTTATATACAGTATTATATGTCTTGAACAGGAACAGGCCAGTCCCAGATCCAAGCCATCTTGACCTCCATTGTGGTTAAAAATCAGTAAAGTCGTATATTCGTTTCCTTTGACCAACCCCCCAGAAACTATGCCCCTTCTCACGCCGTCCGAAACGTAAACCCAGAAGCTCTAATCATTATTACACATCGCTTCGAAAAAATCGCAAAAACTCGAACAACATTGAACTCCAACTCCATCTGCATCATGTCTAATCGCCGTCTTCGCTATGCTTCTGTCCTCCTCGAATCTGTCGTGACAGCCGGCGGCGGCTCAGAGATGTACACCGGCGGCCTTCTCCCCTCCTCCAAATCTCTCAGCTCCGTCGATCCTTCACTTGCGACAACCTCTCCTTCTGCCGACAGCTTCCTAACCAAATACGGTGGCGGTGCTTCTCCCAGTTCGTTAAGTCCTTCGGGAGAATCAGCGCCTCCCGATGGATTGCGTCTGGAGTTCCGCATTGTTCCATCTCGCCTCATCCAGACCAAGACTCCATCACGTCTCACCCACCGGCCTCGGCCCAACTCGATGGTGGTTTCCCGTTCCCGAGCCCTGCGACGGCGAATGCAGAAGAAGAATACCACTACCGAGAACACGGCAAAGAGGGCGAGGATGGGAATGATTATATATGTCAACGGTCGCGTCGGCTTGTTCGGCGAGTGCTGATCTGAAAACTGAGGCATGATGATGGTCGTCAACTATATGCGTGTTGTTCGCGCCTGTTGCGCCGAAAGCAAGCTGGCGGGCGGCTCTCCAGATAAATGCACGAAAGATTTCGCTATGTTCAGTCTCAGATTTGGCTCACTTCCTCGTATAAAAGGAGTCAACAGAATGGGCAGATGGTGAATGAGAATTATCTCGAGGTTAAAACATGCGGCAACGCTCAAAATACATGTACAAGGTATGAGAGGTGAGGCTAAAAACTACTCAATAACGAGGTGACGGGATGCCTTTATACCGCTGTTTGAACGTCAACCTACGTAGACGCCACTCTTCAAAGCCCCAAATCTATCCATTATTACGCTCGCAGCATTACGCTCGCAGCTCCCAGTCCACTCGCCAGCCAGTCACATCAACCGTCGCTGCTGTCGACGAATTTGTCACGTCGGGGGAGTCGTATCAACGACCCAGTCAGCCGTCATGCGCCAAGGGAGTCCAAGGCAGTCAGCCAGGCTCAAGGCAAGGCACCTACTGCTCGGTCTAGCTGCAATTGAGCCGTTTATGTGAAGCTCGCTGTTGGGAGTGAGCACCTGGCGGGATCCTTTGGGAGCGGAGCAGCACAGCCCTACCAAGGTGTGGCGCCTATGTGTGATTTGAATTTGGAGCATCGCTGCGGAATACGGGGCTGTCGGCGATTAACACGTCCATATGGAGTCATTGGCATGCTGTAAAATGGAATATCCATATGGATATTGGTCATACTCTCTTGAACTGTAATTTAAAGATACACGTATATCTGCCGGAGAAGCTTCGCCGGCGCCTTCAAGGCCCACCCGTCTCTCGGGCGCTAAAGCCACGGGCTGGAGCCGCCAGACCCGCCGTAAATCAAATGTGCAGAGACTGGACCAAAAGCACCAGAACTCTCCAGCGCTCGTCATCATCATCCATTTGTTAGCGCAGCCTTGCCTCGATTCGCCATCTTTCAACTCCGTCGAATCAACCACCAGCTGCCCAGCATGCCCCGCGCAATCAGAGGTAGGCATCTCGCCCATTTTGCCTTTTGCTCACTCTGCTCTTAGCCAGACACTGACCTTTCTTGTCTCGTGCTCAGGCGTCCTGATCGAGTGCGATCCTTCCATCAAGTCCATCATCGTTAACATCGATAGCGTCAACCACGACTTCATCATCGAGGATTTGGACGAGGAACGTGTCGTGGTTAAGGAAAACATGGTTCACTTGCTCAAACAGAAACTCGAGGACGTATGATGGAACCCTAATGTCCTTTTTACTCGCTTTATTCCTGTCAATTCTTGCTCACACGACAATTTTCTGCAGCGCCTGAAGGAGAATCTTCCTCCTGTTGACGAGTCCGGTTCCGAATAAGCCGTCGATATCAAACAATCTACACACGCTACAAAACTTGCTTATTTCGAATCCCAAAGACGTCTTGCGAAAATAATTTATATTTATTCCCTCAAAAGAGAGTCCATACATCACCAGGCAGTTTATTCCAATATACATACAACCGCTACCATTAATATCAAGACATTCCCACGATCGACCGATGCTTTACAACTTGGCAAACGTCGGCTTCTGCTTCTTCAACACGCTCATCATCGCCGCCGGGAAATCCGCTCCCTGCAGCGCCGCCGAATTCCACAACTGCGTATACCGCAGAGCATCCGCCGTGCTGTGATCTCTCGCGTGGTTCAGCAGCTCCTTTGTGCCCTGAACCGCCACCGGGCTCTTCGATGCAATAAACGTCGCCATGTCAATGGCCGCTTGTACCGCCTTCTCCTTGCCTTCGTGCACCTGGCTCACGAAACCCACCGCCAGGGCTTCCTGTGCAGAAAAGTCACGGGCCGTCAGGCACACGTCCTTGACCCACGAGTTGGAGCCCACGACCTTGGGAAGACGTGCAAGCGTGCCGATGTCAGCGGCGAGACCAATGTCAACCTCCTTGACGGCAAAGCGGGTGTTGGATGCGCAGACGCGGACATCGGCGCAGCAGGAAATATCGATGGCGAGGCCGATGGAAATTCCATGCATGGCGCAAATCACCGCTGTTAGAGTAGACATGTCAGAGAATGCGCTTCAGATAGAACAAACACATAAAGAGAAGAGACTATTAAAACTTACGCTTTTCGCACTTCTCCAGCGCCCCAATAGAGCTCTGAAACTCCTCAATGTGCGCCCTAATCTTCTTCGCCTTCCTGGCCGGATCATTCCCATCAGAGTTCAGCACTGAATCCTGAGACGCCGACTGCACGTCCAGCCCAGCAGTGAACGCTTTGTCGCCCGCGCCGCTCAGCACCACGGCCCGCACATCGGCATCCTCGCTCAGCTGCCGGAAGATGCGTCCAAACTCGAGCCACATGGGCTCGGAGAAGGCGTTGAGCTTCTCTGGCCGCTGGATCTGCACGTGTGCTACGAGTGGCTTGGGGCCGGTTATTGTGAAGAACTTGTAGGCGCTGTAGGCCGCGAGGGGGGATTCCGTCGCTGATGACATCTTGAGAGCTATTCGTGGTGTTTTGTTGGGATTACGAGTCTCGGTGTAGGGATGAACGAATGAAGGAGCCGTAGATACCGCAAGATATGCTTCGCGTAGCAAATGATAACAGATCAAGTTAAATTGATAGATATAACTGATCACCGATACCAGAGTGAGAAAAAAGATTAGTGATTCAGAATTGTCGACAACATGTTCTGCTTATTTTAGCAAGTTCCAGGTCACCATTTCCAGCGAAGCCGAGGCACAACGTTTAGGTGGGGCCAACGCCAACGTTAACCGTGCCGAATAATCTGGGGATTGCGGGCTTCTGATCGTTGGTATCCATACCGAATCGCTGTAGTTTCCACGGCACTTTCAGGCTGTCTATCCCATGAAAATTTCCGTAGAGATGTACTCCAATACTTACATTGATTTGTCTTTCTCTGTCGATTGTATGCAGCAGCAAAAGCTGGAGAAATCGGAGTCTTTGACTGGTAAATCACCTCTGTCCTTTAAAATTTGCCTTCATTCTCAGCTTCTAGCTTCATAAAACATCCATGGATCCGTTACTTATTGCCACCGCAGTATTCGATTTGGGAGTGAATGCTATAATTCAGGCTCATCAATACAATAATTTCAGGAGAAACTTATCTAGCGCCCCAATTCTACTATCCAGCACTCTAGCTATAGGTACTTACCTAGGCTACTGCTGCCATTACTGCCACAGCTGCTGCTATTACTTTAAAATAGATCAATTGATACATATAGCAATTGGATAACTTATGAGCCCTTAAATCCATCGCGGTATCAAGCTACAACTGGACTTCTGGATAATAGAGCTGGGATGTTGGATAACTTTTTGGCTAACAATACATATATTCTCGCCACCACTTTTCATAGTAGCTACAGCGACATGTCGATGATTGATACTTTCTCTGATACTATAGTGTTCAATTTCATTAACCTAATAACGCCTGGGCCCGTTCTTTATTCCTAACTTCACTCATTGTAACTGTTCTTGCCAAGTACCTACCTCGCGCCATTCCATAACAGAACTGTACCTAACGTCTTTAGCCAGGATAAGTATAAGGATCTTCAACATGTAAACCGTGGCCCTGATATGGGCCCCGGTTGAGGTCCAGACTCTCTTGGTTAAAGTAGCTATGGAAGCCTCGCGATGCCATGACTCCTTCGCGAGGCACATATATACGATGGCCCAAACCTGGAAATGTAGTCTTTGGCATTTTCTCATCAACTTCCTCGCCATCTTCCGAGCATTTCTCCTCCATATTCCAATATGTGAGGATGGGGCGCGTTTTTTTCAGATGCAGTGGACACCAACTTGGAGAGAAGATTAAATAGTGGTGAAGAAAACGATCGTCCAGCTTGCTAGTAAAAGTAATGGCTCGCCGCTGCAAAGGTGATTGTCGCATTTGAAACATTTGGAAGGCAGCGGGCAAAGAGCCGAACCTATCACGTACGGTTTGGTTAAAGGTCTTTTTTATGACACTGTCTTCCGGTTCAAACTCAATGGCCAAGAAGTATAGCTGCAAAGGCCAATGAGGCACCCACGTAGTAGAATGAGTGAGAAATCGACAAGCATCATCAAGGAACTGCCTCAAATGCCCAATTTGCGGCTTCATAGATCCACTTTCGCAACAGCTATCAATCATCCTCTTGAGTTTCTGAACAGCAGGCAAAGTATGCAGAATGTAATTGCGCTTGAGAGCTAGGGACTCTACCCAGCAAAGAAACTTATCCGTGAGGAACGAGTGGAGGCTTGAGCCATCCTCAAAGTGTTCAAACCCTTGAGCCAGATGCTCAACCCAGAATGTACAGCAATACCTCAACGAGGCCAAGGGATCGACAGTAGGGTGGGAAATGTCATCGACGTATATTTGGGGGTTTGTCAAACCATATATGTTGTATGTGAGGTTGCTGGACATTACGTCCAGTGATATTTCGAACATTTTGTAGTGCTGATGCTGAATCGGGAATATAAGACGAGCCGCAGCTTCCACTATATAATCTTTGGCAGATTGATGCACGAAATAAACAATGCCACCTCTGATCGACAAGATAGATCCACAATCTTTTGCCATATCTCGTATATCTCGCGGCTGAAATGAGGTTTTGAAGCGCTTGTCATCTTTCCAATGAGCGTTGATAAATAAAAGTAGCTCCGTAAGATGAAGAGGCCTCATGGCTGTGGCCACCACTGAGAGCAGTGCCTGGCAGGCCTCGCGAGCTTTGGCTTTCAGCTTATCGATTCGATTTAGTAGTAGGCAATAGATGCTTTCCAGTCCCTCTGGTATCTCTTTCAACACGTCTTCTACTTGCCAATGATCTGTGTCGCGTAGCTGCTCTATGACGAGAGCTGCCCATAAGAAGGTTCCACTGGCCTTGCTTTTGAGAATTTTTGATGTTTTAGATTGAAGGTCTTCATCGTCTTGTATAGCTGAGATTTCTTGGATTTGAAGATTGATATACATGTCGACAGATACAGAGACTTGTTCAGCGTTCTGTCCCAACTCCAAATCAACCTTTTGTGAAATTTCGGTGAGTTTTCTCTCTATATGTTTCTCACTTCGACTTGAAACCAGCCATTGAACAGTGTCGCTTGTCTTGATGATAAGATTCAGTAGATGGTCGCAATCTTCAATGCACTCATCAAGAGCGTCGACAACACAGATAAAGTACTCGTCGATGCGACCTAGAGCCCGAACAATGGTTTCAAACATATCGCATAGGATAGCCAGTGCTTTATCTCCGATCAGCTGTCCCTTGGGTCCGTCTCCATACTTCTCTCGAACAAGTTTCAAGAGTGCCGGACGTGGTTTAAGCATTATAAATATCAGCCCTCGGATGACGGCGGCTGCGGTATTCGTTCGAAAGTCTGTAGCCTGACAAAAAAAGTATAAAAGGTCGCTTGGCAAACGTATGTCGTGCTCTTCGAACTTTTCGAACTTTTTCCGCCTTCCGGGCTCTCCTCCAAGTTGTTCAAGAAGCCCGAGTCCTCCGAACCTTTCGTAACCTTCAACATTTGTGTTCTCTTCAAAGTCAAAATGTTGGGACTTTTTGAACTCTGAGAAATTTGCGGGCCTTTCGAGCTTTTCAAGCTCTTCCAGCTCTTCAAGCGTTCTGAAAATTTTCAAGCTCTTCCAGCGTTCTGAAATTTTAAACTGTTCGAACTCTTCAATTTTTTCGATAATCCCACATAGTAGCATTGTCTTGCCTTTTCCAGGATCGCCTTTTATCCACAACACTCCTTTCGGTCGAGTGCAGTACCATCTCTTGAAGGCTTCGTGATCGAGTATCCAGCGACATGTATCCCGTAGTAAAGGACCCTTGCGCATCAAAATGTCTTTCTTAGTATAAACAGGGTCGATTTGGCTGAATTCTTGCAGGAAAATCCTGTCGTCGTCCAAGGTAGCTGTGGTACTATTAAGCCTGCTAGTTCAAGTCATAAATAGGTAGCATGCAGTCAGAGAGCGTACTGGTGTTAACCGTGACTTGAGTATTGCCCAAGATGACTTCCGCGTTATCTCCAACGGTATTTCCTGAAAAGTTGCGCGAGCCTTCCATTTTGGCAATATTTCCAATGATAAGTCAATATGCGTTGAAGCGTTATGGAATGTGACGTGAGGTTGTAGACGTTAAGATGGCCTAATGCTACAGTCCAATGTCTGCCTAACATTTGACGAGGCTCTCGTGTGGTACGTATTTAGGATACTGTCCAATCAAACAATCCGACAAATCATGTATCAGATACGTAAGCATAGAGTCGACAGCCATGTAAACATCACTGCAGCTGCAATACAAATGACCAAAATGATTTCTAAGAAGAAGAAAAAAGGCGATGCATGTATAAACAATGGCTCCAAAGCCTAAACTGTAAGATTATCATCCCTCCCACTCCTGTCCAGCCTTTCCAGACCCAGACCCAGACCCGGGTGGCCTTTACATTACGGCTCAGCCCGGATTCCATTCATACCATACACCTGGGGAACGTCCCGATCTATAACGGCGTAATTAGAGCCCCATCATTCCAATCGCCAAACATAGTGAACTTCAAATCACCCAAATATCCCAAACTCATTCAGACCTTACAAAAGAAGAGTACCAAACAGAGTAAACACCATAGCCAAACCAGACACGATGAATGGCGCCTTGTCCATAGGGCCGAGCATGAGAGAAGCAGCAGCACTGTCGGATTCTTCAGAATTGGACTTGGAACCACCTCCAGTTGTTGGAGATGCCGTGCCTGCTGTAGCACTAGCTGTGGCAGTACCGCTATCGGCAGCATTCTGAGATCCATCACCGCCAAGGCCAGGACCTGAGCCGGCGCCGCTCTTCATGTACTTGTTGGCCTGAGAAGGCATCTCGGGGACCAAGCTGGGGTCAACGTTCCATCCAGAGGCCTTGGGCGGGCACTGGGCAGATTTGCTAGAGCTGGCAGCGCCACCGGAACCAGTAGGAGTAGCGTTGGCAGCCAGGGCCTTCTTGAACAGGGCGTACTCGTCCGACTTGGAAACGGAGTCGCCATCGATAGTAACAATGCCGTAGTCGTTGTCTTCCTTGGAGTATTCATACATGATACCACCAGAGTAGACGGCACTCATCTGTGCGCTCATGAGGGCAGACAGCTCCTCGAATTTGCGAGGGCGGTTCTTGATACAACCCCACTCGGACAAACTGACGAATAATCATTAGCAAAGCTGTTCTGAAACATTAGAGGGCGAGTCAACTGTAGTTGTATACATACAAGATAGGAATGCCGTAGTCAGAAAAGGTCTTAACCTTTTGGTCCCAGCCAGAGGTCTTGAAGTCGCTGTTGCACCAAGAGTAGTCGTTAAAGGCAAAGAAGTCAGATCGCTCATCGTCGCTGCCGCAGTTCATGTACATTGCTGTCTGCAGGCGGTTTGAAGAAACGTCAGCAGCGGAGTATCCAACAGGAACCTTGCGCAGTCCTTGAGAGTTCATGTAGTTCTTCATGTCACGAGTGACAGCCTTGATGTACGGGGCGCAGGCATCGGTTCCAGGCTCGTCGTTGATGACCTCGTTGCCGGAGAAGAAAGCCAGTGTGTTGTCATACTTGGCAAACATCTCCACCGTAGCAAAAATGCTCTGGAGATACTTGGTGTTGTAGGACGGTCCGGGCTTGGAGCGGTTGATGGAGTAGCCCGGGTTGTTGACATCAAGGACCAGGTAGATGCCAGCGTCGGCGAGAGCGCTCATGCAGGCATCGTGGTTCTTGGAGTTGTCGACAGCATAGACACGGATAACATTGACGCCAAGGTCCTTGAAGTTCTTGATGTCTCGCTCACAGGTCTTGGAATCGGCCAAGGGGTCCGAGGTGCCCGAAGAACCACCAGGTTGGTAGTCGATACCGCGAAGATAGAAGCGCTTGCCATCAGCCCAGAAAGCTACCGATTTATTAATACATGCGTTCTAATCGATCCAGTTGTGAGCTATGATTGATTCCCACTTACCATTTCCAGAAGCCGAAACGACGGGTAGCGAGGCTCTCTTGGACGGAGGGCTGTTGGTGGATGGAGTGGGAGAGGCCATGACGGCGCTGAGGCCGGCAACGGCCGAAAGAAAAGCGAATCCCTTCATGATGGTGCCAATTGCTGATGTATGAAACGGCGCAGATGTAATAAGTCTTTGTGGAAAGCCGCAGGCAAAATGTATCGATAGATGGATGAGTTGCTAAGGAGTGGATTGAACCCGAGAGGCCAAATGGAGAATTATACGGCAGTTTTAACAGCGAAGATTCAGAGAAGGAGGGAAAGAAGGAGAAGAAGCGAGAAGCTCCAATTAACGAGGGATTTGAGAAACGAGTGAAAAGGCTCTGCAGGAAAGAGAGGATGTTTGGGAAAGAAGAGGGAGGAGGGAGACAAGAAAAGGGCAGGAGAAGGGCAGCTGGAATGGAGGGCCTCGATATTTAATGCCAGAAACCACAACATGCACGCCTGGGCGCGCACCGAGAAGGACTGCTCTGCGCCCTTTAGCGGGCCCTGGGGAATACTGATCTCCATTGCTGCATCACATCGCTCTGGCCCAGTAGCACATTCATTGATTGATGCTACCAGGTACTACTGCTGCGCACACTGAAGCCGCCAGCAACTGGCCCGGGAGCGTCGCACACAAAACCCACATGGAAACGAATTGCATGATCCACTGACCGGCGCCACTTCGAAACCACCAGCTGGCCATGCTGAGCTACCAATCACTAAACAGTTCAGTCACGGTAGGGAGAGACGGGCGACGGTGAAATGGCGAGGTTGTGATAGGCAGACAGTGTGAGACACTGCGCGGAGGCTTCGTGTTTTCTGTGGACCAAGAAGCAGAGAGGTAGCTTTTGCCTGTGTGTGTGCCTGTGGACGAAATAGGCCAATAATAGTAAGGGAAAGCTGCCTCAAGTGCATTAAAAACAGAAAACTCAATTACACATGCTCCTTTGTTCCAAGAAGCGTGGCGTATCGACTATGGGATTCTCCAGCGCGCGATGCCAAAGTCTATTTGCGATTGATACCCTCGCTCGTATCGCCAGTTGGTGCTACGAACCAGACGAGATGCGGCTAACACGAGAAAAAGAAAACCAGTCTGTTGTCTGCATTTTGCGTATACAGTGAGTGACATGTATGGATCGTCATTGCTCCACAAGTTGTTGAGCTGTTTGTTCTTTTAATAGCTTCGTTTGCACTGCACATTTTTATTCACGGATCGAAAAGACGCTCCAGATACATGGAAATAATAAACAGACACCTGCAATGTATTCGATACAGTGAATCATCATGCCCTATTAACCAGCATCCCATCCAGATACAATCAAATTTGCAAGTCTGATTCAATGCGTCTTCGTGACGATTGATAGGCGGACGCTCCAAAACTTGAAACTTGGTCGTCGTCGTGAGTGGAGGCTTGGAGGGCTTAGAATAGACTTCCAAGGTTAAATGTTCCCGCATTACCCCTGCCAGCGCCCCTCTCGGAATCCACCTTCCAGTGTCTGCATCTCGAAGCCATACGGCTTGGATCTGGCTAGCAGATTTCAGTACATGCGAGGATAGAGCAGTATTCTCAGCGAGCGAGGAGCGAATTACGGGGGGCTGGAGGGCTGGAGGGCTGGAGGCCTTTGGAGAACAGCTAGACGACTTAGCTTACATAGCTGTTTGCCAATAAAATGCAGCAATCCGACTGTAAAAAATCACATTGGAGACGATTCTTTCACCGAGCCACCAAGTGCTGGGTCTATGAGGCGAGGCCCTGCCTTGGACCATCGATCGCATCATCCTGCCGGAACGTTTCCAACGTCCTTTCCGGCTCGGCATCCCTCACCTTAAATTTTAGAATAAAACCAAAATCAGATGCCATGGATTCCATTCCCAACATGCGCCGCCACCCTAGGAGCTTTCACCCGCACTGGTCCCAAAAAACCCACAATAAAGCTTCCAGGTTTCTGATCGTCAGGGGCCATCACCACATTCGTGCGTTTCCAGCTGCTGCATGAACAACCCGCCCGGCACAGCGCTGCCGCTGCCACTCGCCACTCAGAAACAAGCTCTCTTGGGATCTGGAGACTCTAAAGAAGCTTGTTTGGCCAATGTTAATGCCGCTAGGTTTTCTAACCGAACCTTTTTTCTGGATCGGCGATTTTGCGTTGTTCTTTTCGAGACATTCTGAGATGCGGAAATTTGAATCGGCGTGACGATCTTGCTGTTGCTTGTCAGCTGGGCTGCTGGGGCATACATAGTCCTTGGGAACCTTGCATCTCCATTAATCTCCTATCGGATTCTTGGAATAATGCCGGTGAAGAAACTTGCGATTTCAAAATCAAGTTTCACACGCATCATGGATAAAACCCAGAGATAATACGGGGATAACCGAGCAGCTGCTCTCTCCTTATCTCTCTATTCCCTGGAGTGCAAGCAGGCAAGGGGTGCGAAGAATAATAGGGACCGTAAGATGAAAACACACATGCAAGTCTAAAATATTAATGCTTTTTGTCAAGTAAAGGAAAAGTTATCTGGTACTAGCAGTAGTAGCAGTAGTAAACGCCACTGTAGTGTTATTGTGGTGCCTATGTAAAGTTAAGAAATGTATGCTAATTGTTTAACGATTCTCTCTTCTTCTTCGCACCCCTTGGCAGGATTGGCGGGTACCTTGTAGCTTTCAAACAACCACAACATCCATGATTCCGAAAGTAATGCAACTACCTAGGTATTTCTCCGTATCTGCCATCACCGGCATCTACGCCTTCTCCTTTCTCCTCGTCAACTCCAGATCCAGATTGCGATCTGCCAAGAACTCAACTCCTTATCTCGCCCTGTATCAAGCAGTCTTCTGGTCCTCTCTCTCTGCTCCATAGCTTTACCAGTCGGCATCGCAATCACACAAGAAAGGTTGAGCAGGAAAAGCAAATAGTGTAGCAGCATTGCAAGTCATAAGAGGTCATAACATTCATACTTCATATTGATATCCATCCCGCCCTTTTATAATCTAATTCTTTAAATTTCCCAGCAGTCAAAGGGAGAAGGGAAAAGAACAAAAGAAGGAAAGCAAGAAAGAAAAACAAGCTTATG